CGTGTCCTGAAAAACATGTTCCAAAGAGCCAATTTCAGGCAGCGCTGATAGGGATATTTAAGACCAACCAAAAGCTTGTTTAAGTGGTAACGCAGTTGGTTATGGCATGAATTTTGACAGCGGAAATGCAGCCTATCCAGCCGTGATGCATTCTGCCCATATGTACATGGAACAAGAGTAGCCTAATGTGCTTTTGGTGCCTGTATATTTCAAATGTAGAATTTTTTTTTTTTTTTTAATGTATTTTACCAATTAGTTTTATTTTGTTAAAAAAAAAACAAGCATAGCCTCCCCTCCTCTTAATCAAGGCTTTTTTTGTCCTGCCCAATAAAATCGCGAAGTAGTCAAGATTGTCCATAAAGGGTTTGGCTCCTGAGACCGCTTGGAAATCAATCTTAATCACCAAAGCTTTATTCGAATATAAAGTTTGAGAGGATTAAAACAGTGAGCTGACATTACCTTTGAGTATATGCATTGTAGGCAGGCAGACATTATTTTAGGCATACATGTCCGGTTTTGGACGTACGTAAAACCCCCTCCATGATGTAGGCTACGTCTCCATGGTCATCATGAAACAAGAGATGAGAACCTCGGTGAATACCGGTGAACCTATTTAGAAGATATCTGTAACAATTGCTTTTTTCCCCATTTCATATGTTAAAAATCCAAGCCCTCCCTTAGGCCTACTATAACGAGCCTGGTTGAACAGCAATGCGTGTCTTTTTATCCTACCGATTTTATGATATCATTACATTTTACATTTATTTATTGTTGTTGTAAAAAAAAAAAACAGATTGCTTGTTTTTCGTTTAATTTTATAACAACAAATCTTATTAGAATGATTCACCTTCCTGGCTTTATGGTTACAATGTCCATGGCACGCATGCAATGCAACTTCTGGAGACGTGTGAATGTATCTGATTTGTAAATTGTTCCGATTATGTTCATAAAACATAGGCCTATTTGGGAGCAGTATAACGGTGAGAGGACATTCTCCCTTTCTATTTAGTGTATTCGGAAAGTATTCAGATCCGTTGACTTTTTCCATATTTTTTTATGTTACAGACTTATTCTAAAATGGGCTCTGGCTAGGCCACTCAAGGATATTCAGAGACTTGTCCTGAAGCCACTCCTGTGTTGTCTTGGCTGTGTGCTTAGGGTCCTTGTCCTATTGGAAGGTAAACCTTGGCACCAGTCTGAGGTCCTGAGCACTCTGGAGCAAGTTTTCATCAAGGATCTCTCTGTATTTTGCGCCATACAAATTGTACAAACTCCAAGCGGGCTGTCATGTTCTTTTTACTGAGGAGTGGCTTCTGTCTGGCCACTCTACCATAAAGGCCTGATTGGTAGAGTGCTGCAGAGATGGTTGTCCTTCTGGAATGTTCTCCCATCTCCACAGAGGAACTCTGGAGCTTGGTCAGAGTGACCATCGGGTTCTTGGTCACCTCCCTGACCAATGCCCTGACCAATGCCCTTCTCCCCTGATTGCTCAGTTTGGCCGGGAGGCCAGCTCCAGGAAGAGTCTTGGTGGTTCCAAACTTCTTCCATTTAAGAATGATGGAGGCAACTGTGTTCTTGGGGACCTTCAATGCTGCAGAAATGTTTTGGTACCCTTCCCCAGATCTGTGCCTTGACACAATCCTGTCTCGGAGCTCTACGGACAATTCCTTTGACCTCATGGCTTGTTTTTTGCTCTGACATGCACTGTCAACTGTTGGACCTTATATAGACGGGTGTGTGCCTTTCCAATCAAGTTGTTGAAACATCTCAAGGGTGATCAATGGGAACAGGATGCACCTGAGCTCAATTTCGAGTCTCATAGCAAAGTACTTATGTAAATAAGGTATTTCTGTTTATTCTTTATAATAAATGTGCAAAAAATTCTTACAACCTGTTTTCGCTTTGTCATTATTGGGTATTGTATGTAGATTGATGAGGGAAAACATAATTTAATCAATTTTAGAATAAGGCTGTAACGTAAAAAAAACTTGTCAAAAGTCAAGGGGTCGGAATACTTTCCGAATGCACTGATCATCATTTCCAGCCACTGTGAAAAATGTGGATGTGCCGTAAAACCATCCATAGTCTACGCTGTTTTAATATTATATGGCCACAGGCAGTGGCGGCTCCTGAAAAAATTCTCAGGAGGGGCAATTTTTCTGATGATTTAGGTGACCTACACACATTTTAAAAAAGATATGTCCAGCAACAACATGAAGACAGGGGCAGCATATAAGTCAATACCAGAAGCATTTATTGACTGATCTGGGGAGATGGATTCCAGTTTCTGTGACAGATTATAAATAATCTCTGATGCCTTTGTTATATTAGCTTTTGGTTGAATGTACTGTCGTAGTAAATATATAATGTTATAGCTTGGTCTGACTAAAATCTTGTGCATGACCCATTTTGTGTTGAGCGTTTGTTTTCAATCAATGCTGTTCCTATCCTATAACAATGGACAAAAGAGTCCTATCTTGTCAGCCTTGTCAGCAGGTGGCCAAGGACAACACCCACGCCATAGGTCTCTCAGTTCTTCCAACTCACGAGTTCTTGCTCTGAGGACACACACACACACACACACACACACACACACACACACATCATCACTGATAACACACACACACACACACATCATCACTGTTAAACACACACACACACACACACACAAAAATCCCCTCTCTTTAGGCTGAACATTTGAAGACAGAGAACCCGACTCAGAGCCAATGCAACAGTGGAGGGGACCTCGCCCAACTCATCAGGACCAATCAGAAGATCAGAACTACTAGATTCAACCTACATCATTTATTGTATAAAATGTCTGCACACAATGTTTTCAGGGCTCTCTTCAGATAGCTCCCTAAGAGTTTGACGAACGAGTCCGTGCACGCGATTCCAGATATCTTTACCTCTGAATAAACTGCCTTTATTATACCATATCCACCCTGTCCAAAGTCTCTACTTGGTCTCAGTTCTCCAGTAAACTTGTGATTATCAACAGTACACAACGGTAACAAACAATTGGGGGAACTCACGGGGCAGATAGTAAGGTCGCAGTGACACAGAAAGCAGTTCAATGTCGGGGCTCGGGGGTACAGAGTCGCTCTCTTACCAGGATCGATTTTCCCTGTGACTGTCAGATCGCGGTCCGCTCTGACCAGGGTGAAGCCGGCCGGCTCCACTTCTCTGTCCGGGACTCTGTCATCCAGCCAAGTCTCCCAGCTGTATTGGATTCGGCTGCCAGCTACGTTTTCAATATTTAGTCCGTTCGTAGCGGGTATGTACACGATCAACAAGATCAGTCCAAAACCCACCACTGGAAATCCATGGTTGGCAGAATGTTTGTAAACTAAGTGTACAAATTAAAAACATAAAATAACGCCACTAAGTGTACAAATTAAAAACATAAGATAACGCCACACTGCAGGTCGCAACAGAGACGCTGCTAGCCGCTATTTTCTTAGTTACGTTCATGGTTACGTCACGTATGACGAAAGCGCGTAAGTGCAAGCCCACAGACACCCATAGAGAATGTATTGAAAGCTTTGAAATTTGAAAAAAATAGATTTTACATGACAGGCTATGAGAGACTTCTGGGCGATTTTCAACCTGACTGAAATCGCCCCAAAAACGGGCGGGGCCATTTGAAGCACGACTTTAGCCTGATTTGACATTTAGTGGCAGTCAGATCAGATTACAACACTGATAACTACTGTTGCCGTGATATAATTGATTAGAAAAAAAATCCCTTCCTTTTCCCGTTTGGCAGTGCGTCGCCCATATCGCCCTATTGAACAGGCCGTCCCTGGCCACAGGGAGAAATGATGGTGCCTGTAAGTGTGCCTATTTAAAACAAGTTGCTGTTTTGTTTAGAATTTGATTAGAATTATTTGTTCCCTTTTTAGGCCTTATCAATGATGAATTTAATCTTGCTTATTGAAAATGTTTGGCATGTCCATGCTGAGCCATAATGCAATTTACAGTAGGCCTAGTCCCTACATCAGTACGAATGCTATTGAAGCCATGCAATTACTTAGAACAATGTGGACTGCAAATGGGTTCAAGTTAACGTATTTCGCCATGGAGCACGTTCTGATTGGCCAGTGAGGGGCCAAGCCTCGACACACCCACAACTTGTTTATTCATCAAAACCCAGCCCTTTCGCACCAACGCCAGTAAGTGCACCGATAATTGTGATAGTGAAAATAGCAAAAATATTTTTGAACCTATTGTGTTACCGCCTGTGCTTAGATTTACCATTGTGTTAGGTTTATTAAAATAGAGCTCTAGATGTCATAGCTATGCATTTCTGGATTTGTCAGGCATTACATGCACTTGAGCAAAGATGCAAATGTCCATGTATGTACATGTATTTGAAATACATTTTACGTCAAGTTAAACATATTGAAATGTCTGTATGGGGATCATCATGAGCACATACAGTGTCCATTCAGGCTAATACTGAATATTTGCATATACTGTATGGATTTCACACGTAAGCCAGTGAGAGAACTGAGTGGAGAGAGGTTTTGAAATTGTTCCTCCTCCTCATCATCATCATTATAGATTATCAATACTGTCTTTATACTGGTCCATGGCAATGGGAGACAGTTGCCGCAGCAACGGTGCTCAGGCGATGTGAGCAATGTGAGGCTCGTTCAGATAATCTAATAACATGGGCTGTGGCAGGGCTTTACTGCAGCCCTCATTAGCACGAACACACATACACACACACACACCTGATCAATGGTTGATGTTCCCCCATTCTGCATAGTCACACAAACACACACAGAAACATGCAGGCAAGCACACACTCACATGTATGGACACACCATGCATGGTCACACAACGCTCACACGCACATATACACTAAAAACACCCAAATACCCAAACACAAAAACCCACATTCAGAGCCGTTCCCTACTGTTATTCACAGTAACATCACTCCTATGAAATCAAATAATCCCTGACCAAACAGACATCCACTGATTGTACTGACCTTCCAGGATGACCTGGACAAAGTCCTGGGTGGACATCTTGCCATTCCTGGCGAAGCACTGGTAGGCTCCTCCATCACTCTTAGCCATCCCAGCCATGACCAGGTTCTCCCGGTTGTTGCCAGTCATGCGGACACTGTTCCCAGGGTAGATGATCTCTCCATTCCGGTACCAGGACAGCTCGTACTCCTCCGAGCCACTCACGCTGCACGACAGAGACACCTGGCTACCCACGCTGCCTTTCACCTTCTTCGGGCTGACCACCGCCTTCAGGGGCTCTGGAAAAGGGAGAGGGGAAAGGCTTAGATTCTCTTACATTACACATATGTCAATGTGACATACTGTATGTCAGCTAAATACATATCAACTCTGAAATGGATTTTAAACTCCAAAGACAAACATACACATTAACAACAAACATACTGTACATTTAGCACCACATGCTGCACACAGTCTATTACTGACCTTTGACCTGCAGCCTCCCCACCACCTCTGCATTGCCATAGCTGTTCCAGACCTCACACACGTAGTTTCCCGTGTCGCTGGACTGGGCTCTCTCGATCAACAGCCCCGTCACACTCTGCCTGAAGCGGGTGTCCGGCTCCAGCGGTCGGTTGTCCTTCAGCCAGCGGTATTTGGGGGCCGGGTGACCAGACGCTTTGCATGGCAGCTCTACCCGGTGTGATGTCATCACCTCGCGACGCTCAAAGCCATCCAGGATGGTCGGCGCAGAGTTGGTGGGGTCTGAGGGAGGAGCAATGGCCAAAGGTGAGATGGATTCAATATTTAATGCATAGCATGGTCAAAAGCATGCATTGTGCCTCCCGAGTGGCGCAGCGGTCTAAGGCACTGCATCGCAGTGCTAGAGGTGTCATTACAGACCCGGGTTCGATCCCGGGCTGTATCACAACCGGCTGTGATCGGGAGTCCCATAGGGAAGCGCACAATTGGCCCAGCGTCGTCCGGGTTAGGGGAGGGTTTGGCCGGGGGGGCTTTAGTTGGCTCATCGCGCTCTAGTGAGTCCTTGTGGTGGGCCGGGCGCCTGCAGGCTGACCTCGGTCGTCAGGTGAATGGTGTTTCCTCTGACACATTGGCTAGCTTCCGGGTTAAGTGGGCGGATGTTAAGCGCGGTTTGGCGGGTCATGTTTCAGAGGACACATGACTCGACCTTCACCTCCAGAGCCCGTTGGGGAGTTGCAGCGATGAGACAAGATCGAAATTGGAGAGAAAAAGGGGGTAAAATACACACACAAAAAGATATATATATATATATATATATTTTGCATTGTTAGCCATACTCCATTGACTAGCTTGGAGCTGGTCCAGATTGAAGGAGTGAAGTGAAACAATAGTCAAACCTAGCCATATTCAGAGTGTATTCCATGCAAACATTGGCACCCAGACTTGCACAACAGACTGGCATCCAAGCTGTACTGTCCCTTTGCTTACCTGACACAAAGAGACGTGCGCTGTTGCTCTGCCTGGTCTCTCCCGTGTAGCGGTGGCGTGTCATACACCTGTAATTATACAATCCATCCTCATTCTGCACGTCCAGGATGTAAAGGGCTCCTGTGGAGGTGATGAGGAACCGAGGTGCTGCAAGACAAAAACACACATCACATCATTAGACATACTGTACATACAGCAACATACTGTACAACCATCTGTAGCTTTGCTTTTGAATTTAAAATCAACACCACCATGTGTAGACATTATGGGCCAGTTTCCTGTCCAGGAAACCGACTCTATATGATTAAACAAATAAAAACACTCAAAAAAAACCTACTAAGAGTTGTTATAAAAATGTAATATATATATTAATCAAAGTGGCTTTGTAAATATTTGCAAAGTTCTATTTTGTGAAGTGCCTGGCCATGAGACTACAAACACTGAACATCTGCTCTAGCCCATTTAGCTGAACACATCTAAGAGATAATATGACAAGGCTGTGTGTTGTGGCAGTCCACACACCTCTTTATCATGTAGCTCTCTCTCTCTCTTTCTCAGACTAAAGCAGAGGGACCCAGGGATAGAGATCACACAGAGCTTTGATATGGCACCGCGGCGCAGCTCAGGTCGGTTGTGCTAATATCATGCTAATTCGTGGGAAAGCTGGGAATGGGGGGAGGACTAATGCCTGATGCCTGCCGGAACTGTCATAGCAGGCTGGGAGGATATTCCTCAGTCACAGATGATAGAGGATGCTGTTTGGGATGGGGTTGGGGATGGCATGTGTACAGTACCTCCCATTTCCTTCCCATCTAGCCTATGCCAGTCAGTATTGAAGCTATGAGAACCGGTACAGTGACCGACACCTCTTATAGAATATTGTCTCAAAAACACAAAACCCATTACAGCACTGCTTCAATCTACACTATTTTCACCATATTTTGACCGAATTTTCTTTTTAATATAGAAAGGGAAAAATTAGTATTGAGACATACTGTATTGTTTCCCACTGGTCACGCCACTTCATTTCAACGTGGATAATTGGGTAATATTTTGTTGAGACGTTGACCAATGAGACTAGGGATTGATTCACCGATAAGCTTCGGTCCCTGGTTCAAATGTTTAAGATACGAGTGCATGGGTCAACGGGACCCCAAAACGATCCAAATGTAGCATGCATCGGTCAGAAAATCAATTCAAACATTATGAATCGCTGGTTCACAAAAATATTTTGTTCATATTACTTTCTTTCTATCTTCCGAAAATACCTAATCTTTGGTGGCAACTGCATCCTCTCCTTCAGTGTCGAACTAAGCATATCATTATGTTGACAGTCGTTGACCTACAAGTCATTTTGCATGCTGAACAACCCCAGGCAATATCAGCTGCCTAACTGTGCGCTGAGCGCAGCTTTGCACGATGACCAATGAGAGGTAGGCCTATTCCTGATGTGGCACATGTTCGTGTCACCTTCAGCATTAAAATATTTATTAAATGGCTTGCGAAGTATTAGGCTTTATTAGTTGAGTGACAACCAATATAATTTGTTAGGTTCTTTTTATCAAATGCGCTGTTGAAAAAATGCTGGAGACAGCTCTCATCTGGCTATAAGTAGGCTACATGCTGATCGGGGCTTACATTAGATTTTATTTTGATTGTTCAGGTTCACAATCAGCAATAGTTTTGGAAGTTTTTTGTGAAGCAATCAGTATGGTCATTTTTAGATATACAGGGTAAAGTTGATCATTTCTTAACGAGGACAGCAATCTCTTTTGCTACCTGCACTGCATGGTCAAAGAAGGAGAAGAAGAGAAGCTCACTCCAAGTCAGTCAAACCTTCCAAATGGTCTAAAACCATTACATTATGAGACTAGAGTGAAATCCAAAGTTGTGCGATATATTCATTGGCTATGTCATTGCTAATTGTTAAAGATAAATATTCAAACATTACTAGCTCTAACACTTTTAATCTGCAAAAATGTTTAATTAATTAGTGGGTGATGGCGATTTCAAAAGAAAAATCAAACAGTATCTTCCTAATATTAGGTTGCACCCCCTTTTGCCCTCAGAACAGCCTAAATTCGTCGGGGCATGGACTATACAAGGTGTCGAAAGCGTTCCACAGCATTGACTCCAATGCTTCCCACAGTGGTGTCAAATTGGCTGGGTGGTGGACCATTCTTAATACACATGGGAAACGGTTGAGCGTGAAAAACCCAGCAGCATTGCAGTTCTAGACACACTCAAACCTGGCACCTACTACCATACCCCGTTCAAAGGCACTTCAATATTTTGTCTTGCCCATTCACCCTCTGAACAGCATACATGCACAACATGTCTCAATCGTCTCAAGGCTTAAAAATCCTTATTTAACCTGTCTCCTCCCTTAATCTACACTGATTGAAGTGGATTTAACAGGTGACACCAATAAGAGATCATAGCTTTCACCTGGTCAGTCTATGTCATGGAAAGAGCAGGTGTCCCTAATGTTTACACACACACACACATCACATCGAACCGAATCGCATCGATTCATTCCTCTAATCAAACCGAGTCGCACCGAATCGTTTCAAACTAAAACGTATCATTCCTGTATCGTATCGGAGCCCATGTATCTACTGTAGATACGCATCGAATCGTCTTGAGCTGGCAAAAATGCACATTCTTTATTACAACCTATATTCACCCAGTCAAAAAGACAGCCAAAAGTTATATACATTTCTAATGTATTTTCACTATTCTTTCAACCATCTAAAAGGACAACAAAATTCCAATGGAAAAACAATTTCTGATTATTGGTTTAGTTGTCACCCAAATGTCTATCACTGCGCTTTCAACTATTTCAAAGCACAGCAAAGTTCAGGAATACAATGTCAAATGTTGTTTATTTATACACCAAATTAATGTGTTATCACTGTGCTTTATCTAATAGCAGAACCAAATCACGTGGATTGCCATTGAGATTACATTAAAAGTACATGATGCAAGTGATCAATGCCGTTCAAATTATTACAGCAATTGTGAAGATCTCCACAGACCTGTGACGACCTATGAACATGCATGCTTTCTATGATTACAGAAGAAGACATTTATAGTTACAGTAACCTCAATGTAGCCATGGTTGTGTTACTCATTTTAAGGTTGAATGTTGTAAGATAGCCTTAACTTTAGTCTATTTACTGTATTACAAGTATTATTATATAAGTAATACAACAAGTAATACAATAAATAAGACAACTCAACCAAATATCAACATTTAAAGGAGATGTATCTACTGCTTGGATAGTTCCATCTGAGCCACTGGATTTTGGACGACATTCTGCTAATTTTGTCATTGATGAAATATTTGATCTCCATACAGTTTTCTGTTTCCAAAACTAGAATCTGTAACAAACAGAGTGTACTGCGTTTTGTGGACTTTACCCTTTATGAAAGTCTTTAAAATCACGTTGTTTAGAAGGAGTGTAAGGGCGAATTGAGTTATTGCACACGCGCACTTCACAGAGTAGACGTTCCGTAATGGGAATATGCAAATAAATCCTAGAACGTACCAATAGGATCTCACTAGCTCATGCTTGGCTCTGCCCACCTCCTTGCTTGTTCTGCCCACTACGATTAATTTGCTCCCATTGGAAACAACAGGCTCTGGTCTATCTTGGGTTAGTTAAAAAAAATATTTGGCTACAAGTAGTACATTTAGTCACAAATGGACTATAATAAACAAGTTAAATGTCTTACCTGTGATTAAATGTTTTCCACACACATAGCTACGTGTAGCCTACTTGGACACCGGGTCCCCACATTTCCCACTCTCCCACACCGAATAGCCTGAAGCCACAGGGCTCTTCTCACAGACTCTATTTACCTACGTGGGAGCATTGTGAAGCGTAGGTTGGGATTCTTGACATGTTTACATGTACATTGAACAACACAGCAGCTTTTTGGCATGTTTTGTTATTTCTGTATAACTAAAAATCGACGACAAATTTGGCTCTTTTACAATAAGGGTAAATTGAAAACAATGTTTATTTTCCCCAATTTGTGGCCGAGGGCGTGGATTGCAGTTGAGATTACATTGAAAGTACATGGTGCAAGTGATCAATGCCGTTTGAGATTCTGCACAGATTATTACAGCAATTGTGAAGATCTCCACAGACCTGCGATGACCTATGCATGCTATCTTAAACATGCACACTTTCTATGATTACATAAGATGACATTAATAGTTACAGTAACTTCAAAATGTGGCCGTGGATGTGTTACTCACTTTAAGGTTGAATGTTACATTAGTTTGTCAAATAGCCTTAACTTTAGACTATTTACTGCATTACAAAAGTTTGTGTTTGGTTGACAGCGTAACCAAATACCAACATTTAAAGGAGATGTATCTACTGCTTGAATAGTTCCATCTGAGCCACTGTCTTAATCCCATTCTTTAACTGAGTTGGAGACATGAGTCCAACATATAATTTGTAAATTTTTCGACAAGTTAATAGGCTATTTATTGTATTTTAAAAGTGAAATTGAATTGTGTTTGGTTGTCAACGCAACCAAATATCAATATTTTAAGGAGATTTATCATCTGCTTGGATTGTTCCAGAGCCATATATCTGTGCCACTGACTTAGTCTGGCTTCAATTCCAGTTTGTCTACAAATTAATAATTGATATGTTGGATTCACGTATCCATCTCAACCCAAAATCTATGTTATAGAATATAACTAAATCAAATCAAACTTTAAATGCACTTTAGATAATGTTTGATTTGATTTTGTCCTATTCTTTAACTTCGATTTTTGATTGAGATGGAGACATAAATCCAACATTTACATGTTTTATTTGTAGACAAACTGGAATTAAACCCAAAATAAATCAGTGGCACACATGAAACTATCCAAGCAGAAGATACAGCTCCTTCAAATGTTGATATTTGGTTGCGTTGACAACCAAACACAATTCAATAGCACTAAATATCATTACATTTGAAATCAACCAGAGCTTGAAACCCCAGGCCTATATGTATTGTCTATTTTTTTATTGAATCCTGGGTTGAATTGAAACAATAGCTGTTGATGATTTTGCAAATGCTATATAGGCCTAAATAGCATAATTGATGATATATGAATGATAAAGTAGTTGGTCAAAATT